CGTAGGGAGGCGACCCTCTCGTCCACTGGGGTAAACTCCAACAACTAAGCACCCAACCGGGGACTGGAGTATCCCCACACCCGCCCGGCGCCTCACACCTTGAGCAACTCCGGAGAAGAATAGAGTCCAACCCCTATCCAGAAGTAAGATTCCAGAGCCGACGCTGTGCGTAGAGGTGAGCCCAACCAGATCCAACTGGTAACGCTCCACCTCCCGCACAAGCTCCGGCTCCTTCCCCCCCAGATAGGTGACGTTCCACGTCCCCAAAGCCAGCTTCTGATGCCCGGGTTTGGTCCGTCGAGACCCTCTGCTTTCACTGCCACCCTTCTGGCAGCGCACCCGACCCCATTGCTGTTTCCCGTTGGTGGTGGGCCCGCGGGATGGAGAAGCAGAGTTGTTGCCCACGTTGCCTTTGCGGGCTGTGTCCGGCCGGGCTCCGTGGCATTCCGGCCACCAGACGCTCGCCGACGAGTCCTCCTTCTGGGCCTGGCTCCAGAAGGGGCTTCCTCCGGGCCCGGTATCCTCAATTCCTGTGTCTTCTTTCATGAGGTCTTTTGAAGGTCTTTTGAACCAATCTTAGTCTGGCCCCTTGCCTGAGACCAATTTGCCTACCAGGAACACAAGGTTCCAGACAACACAGCCCCCAGGTTCATCAGGGCACACAAACCTCTCTACCAGGGCAAGGTGCTGGTTCTTCAGAGAGGCCTCTCGTGTTTGTTTTTTCAAATCAGCAGCCTTTAAAAATATGTCCTGCTATATTTGATGAATGATACAAATATTTGTTACCACAAGTTCTAAATGGAACTGACACTGTTGGACTCAGTACTAGTTTGACTGCTACCAGAAATAAAGTAAAGTACTTTTACAGTGTACTTTGTGAGTAATCCTCTGTCAAAGGGCCCTCCATAGTACATAATGCATGTTTTTCTGCTATCTTTGATGAATGATACGAATACAATGTTACCATTAGTTCTTAATGAAATGTATTCTGTTTGACTTTGTATTAGTAAGCCTACTACTAACAATACATTTAAGTACTTTTACTGTGTATCTTTTGAGAAATACTCTGTCAAATTCCCCTCCTGAGTACAAGAATGCATGTTTTTCTGCTATTTTAATAAGCTTCAAAAAGCATTTCTTCATGAGACTGATATTGTTGGACAGAGTATTTTAAGAGGATATGATACTGTAGACATATTATCAGCAATACTTCCAGTCAGTACTCCGGCAGCAGCATGTTTATCCCTTGGGAAGTCTTTAGAGACTGGCCTGGACAGCTGATCACAACTAAACCTAACACAAAAAGTAAAGAAAATTGATCAATGATCAGATCGTTCTTTTCACGAATATGAGGACAGTAATGTACAATGTATGTAGTATATTTCTATAAGCAAGTACAAAGATTTCTAAGTAAGGTTAATGTAATAATCAGATAAAAAAAGCAAAACAAGCCACACAGTGGTAATGCCGTTGTATCTTTGATGACCCTTAGGCCACCCTTACCATTACACTACTAATGGTAATGAAATGCAGGCATTAATAGCACTTGACAATCACATTGAAGAACTACGCTGAACTTCAGTTAACGTTAGAGTTGCTTAAAGATATTCTAGAGCCACTGTCTGGCTTGTCCGTTCTGATTTACATTAGAAAAATTGTGTTGGAAAATGGTGCACTCCGTGAAAGAGGACCCACTCCCTATTTAGATATGAAGTGTCCATTATTCATATTTCATATTTTCCTTTTGTAAAACACCAATGAAAACATAGTTATGAATAGTGTTTTCCATGACTGTTAAAATATTCCTTGAATACTAACACACCCTTTAGGTTACACATCACACGTATCAAGTGTAAGCCATGTGCCAGACCTTCAGATATACCATATTCAACAACTATGGTACTTTGAAAAATGTGTAACTCCGTGAAGAAGCCAGAAACACCAAGACTTGATGCTGCATTCTTTTATATTAAATAACATCCGTCATGTTTTTCTACCTTTACAAAATGTGATTCAAACCTCTGAGATTTATAGCTTTGCCTCCCATGAAACCAGGATTGAATTCTGAAATATGGTGGATCCTATTATTAAGGTAAAATGTCATGAGGAACAAGCTCACTGACCCTCTGCTCCGTTACGATCATGACTGTACACCGTTTGTGTCTCACAGCACTTGAAGACATTGTCACCTCTGACTCCAAACATTGCTTTTGGAAAAGCTCCCCTGGGTTAAAACTATGTGTTGACTCTTCCTCTGCCAGGGGCTCCTTAAAAAAACAGGCTGCTTTTATTACTTCTTTGGGGGAGCAGATGTTCATAATTTGGAAAAGTGAAGTTGGTAAAACACGACTCCATGGGTGGCAATACATATAAAACAGTTTGGGAAATATGAAACTCTGTCACTGAGCCAAATGTATCTCTTCCTCTGTTAGAAAGGATTTAACTAATTACTCCAATCACATTCAGAGGTGATGTCTTAAAGGTCCCCTATTATACTGTTTTTCATCAATATATCATAAAGAATTGCTGATTCTCTGTCTGTTACTGTCTTTAGATGAAAATAAGGAGCCCTCCCCACGCCCCTCTGAGAGATATTTGGTGAAAAAGAACACAATGGTGCTCTCGGAGGAGATTCAGGTGATAAGGTGGGGGGGGGGGGTTAATGCTTACACAAGCCAAACAATAGTTATGACATCATAAAGTGGCCAAAATCTGATCAGCTCATTTTCAGACAGGTTTTTATAGAAACGGATCAGGACAAAAAGAGAGAATCTTTGTTCCTGAAACTTTCAGAGTATCTTTACACAGAGGGGACACATGTTGATGTAGAAGAGACATGAAGAAGAGGGGACACATGTTGATGTAGAAGAGACATGAAGAAGAGGGGACACATGTTGATGTAGAAGAGACATGGAGAAGTGGATTTTGCATAATAGGTCCCCTTTAATAGGAACTAATGGATATCACTTTAAAGCTGAAATAACAAGAACAAGTTTTTACGGACTTTATGCTCTTTATCTGCATTGGGAGGATACTGGATTTGGACAAAACAAACAGTTTGCACGCTTTCATACTTTTATTGAATATACAGTTTTGAATAAAGCATTCACAAAATGGCAGACCCTGACGTAATTAAACAGGATTTCAGCACCCGTCCTTTACATACTCTGTCTGTCCTCCAGCTCTCTGTGGTAATCCTTCTTCCTCATCGTTCTCTCCCACTTCTGTCTAAACCAGATGCTTCAGAGCCCAGTTCAGGAAGGACTGCAGGAATGCACCAATACTCGTAATCCAGTCCAGTAAAATCAGTGTGAGTTTAAGGTGAGATGGTATTTTTGTCAGGCAACCTTAAAGAATATAATATGTACATATTTCCTCAAAAATGTGTTAATTGTTGTCACTTACATATCATTTGATAACTATTTTACATGTGAAACAATTGTTACTAGTTGTTAGATGTGATAGATTGTTCAGTGTTCAATCTTAAACTGCTCAAATCAGCAAATGGGCTTCCTAACCACTAAGGGGCTGAAAAAACTGCCCTGATTTAACTCACGCATTTGTTATGGTTTACCAACTATTGGCTACACATCTAACAGAGGGAGAACATTATTACACCACTGGTGTTTTTTTCAAAATCAAAAAACAGTTACCATTTAAAATTCAAATTCAAGTTGAATCTATTTTAATTGTTGTCAATAAATAACAACAAACAGAGGGATCAGCTGTTAGATTTTATACACAGTCTTATTTACCAGCCTGAATGCATTTACGGTAAAATAGTTAGACAAACAAAATGTTCTGCCACTAAAAACATATTGCCTAGGCGGCAAACAAACATGAACAATTCTTGGGTGAAAGATTTCCAGATTTGTGGACTATGTTTAAATAAGACAATACTAAAAACATATGATAACAGGAAGTTACAAAAAATTGATACAAACCATGGAAACAAACTGGAAGCTCATCATCATTTTGGTAATCTCACTTTTAAGGTAACATTATCAAAGGTAATTTAAGTGTAGAAATGTGATTGTTAGTAATTACTAAATATTGGGTTAAAGTTCTAAGACCACAAAGTAAATATTTTACTTGATTCAGGTTAAAGCTTACTTCTTGCCTTTGATTGAATTTACAAAATGTCCTCTCCAAATCTTTTATGATGAGAAACAATTTACATTTGTCTGCACTGCAACTCTTCACATTCCAGTCATTTGGAAGACGACTTTGTCATAAACAGCTTACAATAGTTGCATTCAGGCTCTGATTTGACTTCTTAAGCAACAGCTTGTCAAGCTTGCTTAGTTTGTGACTATCCAGGGAGGAGGCAGTCGTTAAAAAACCACAGTTCGGACTATCTTTTCAATATGTTTTGCCAAAGGGACCGCAAAAATACACGTGTTAATCATAATGTAGCAATTACTTACTGGAAATCACAGCCTAAAGGATCCCAGGAAAAATGGGATTTAAACCTGAAGGAGCTGACTTCTGAGCTGAGTTTAAATTCCTCAGAATTTAAAGAATTGATAAATAAAAATTATAAATGATTTAAAGGTAAAGGCAAATGCTTTTGGAGAAACCTGACATGCTACACCATTCCTTGTCTGAATATATTTTTAACTGAGCTAAATGTATTTTATTTTTTTTAGTATCCCTTCTCATTTCTTCCTGTTATGGCTTTGAGAATGTATTGACAACGATGAGCTAGAGCCCTCAACAAATTATCTTCTTCCTCCTATATTTTTCAATGTATCAGTATGTTAGACTGTTAGGGAACATTGGGCTATAACCTGAGAAGTTGGTAAAGTCATAAAGTGTTGCAAGATGTACAGTACTAACACATTGTTGGTTTCAGTCTTTTCCGGGGAATCGTTGTCAAATGACTCTTTAAATTTAGGTGAAATCATATCACTTTGTTCATACATTATTAAAAAAAAAAAGTTGAATAAAACATGTAGTACATATTCTTCTGCTTTATAATATATTTTTGCACTGTGCATTCATGTATTTCTGTTTGAGTGCTTAAAGCTCAGAGTAAAATAAAAATCTAAAGGTTTGTGAGTGTCATAACATTCCTACAAGCAGTACATCCTGAAAGAGTTTAGGAAAGTTCACTGTGTGGCCGTCTTCTGAAATAAAGTGCTTTCATGCAGTGAATTTTATGCAATGTTTTAAACCAATAATCTCTATAAAAAGATATCTGCATATGAATTCAGAATCTGTCGCCAATGAGACTTCAGTACCAGAAGCCTTCTGGTTTCTGTTTGCAGTCCAAGAAGTGTTGACCAATCATGTTTGAGCGAGCGTTGGTTGCAAACAGTCCGTGTGGAGAGAGGCAGAACAAATTGGATGACATTTCGCAACCCATCGGCTATTTTTCTGAGGACAATTTAGACTTTGATTAGCTTTTTTATTTCATTCATCAGCATTCATACGTAGATATCTGTTCATATAGATTAATTGAAATGTCGTATGGACCTAAAACACCTGCTCTCAAGGTCCTAATCTGACTGTCAATGATGACTGGCGAACTATGGAAGAAGTCAGGATCCGGAATTCCAATATCCGCTGGCAACACCGTAACTGTCGTCAGACCGATAGCCTATAGATTCTGAGATTACCAAACCAAGGCCCAGAAGTTATTCACCTGTCATGCTGTTGACTTCAACTGGCTTGCTTTGGTATAAAGTTTCGCTTTGATAGCTGGAGCTAAGTTAGTCTGCAGCTGGCTTTTCAGCAGCTTGGGTTTCCCATCCGACAGAAGCAGACAGTTCTGAAGAGCCGACACTGGCAGAAAGCACAGAAATCACAGCACACATTGTTTGAAGATTTACAGCTTCCCCCCAGGGGAATGCAGTTAGAAGGAGGACGAGGTCGCTTCTTCTTTCTCTGAGAGAGAAGGAGAGAAGTATCAACAATACATCACCATACTGTTAGAATAACATACAAAAAAGTAGTGCAGTGAGAACAGGAGAAACATTTTGAGTAAAATAAAATATGGAAATATGTATGTGCGTTGGTGACAATGCATAAAAAGGACAGATTGTCAGAGATTTTTACCATAGAAGTTGATTCTGTACATTTTAAATGTATAAAGCAAATAGTCTTAGTCTGGTTAGTTTTTTTGGGTAATACCTTTTTTTGTTTCTTTGTTTTCTTGTTCCTCTTCACTGTTTTTGGCAATTCTGAAAAAGGACATATGAAAATAATGGTGCTTTCAGGAATTTGAGAGAAAGAAAAAAATGCATCATCTGCGTGTCCATATACTGTATAGTTTATCTTCATATAAGTGAATAATCACAGTTAAACTTGCAAACTTACCTACAATAACAACAGGAGGGGGGGCTATGTCAAGGCTTTGAGACAGAGCGTGAGATAACACAACGCTCTTTGTGGTGAGACTCTCATCAGGGATCATGTGTGCGGAGGCAAGGAAGTGATCTGTTGCAGCGAGGACTAAACAGCTCAGCAGCAGGAGGGCATGCATCTTTCTCTGGAAAAGAACACACAAAGAAACTTAAATGTATGTTTTTTTGGAAAGAAGGTGAGAATAAATGATACTCTTACTACAAGGTTTAGTCACTTGAAATAAGCTGTCAGTTGGTCCACACTGAAATATCTCATCAACGTTTCGATATTGGTCTTTAGCCTTCACATTATGTCTTAATAGACACGTTTTGTTGTTGCATGACTGCATACCTATTTGTTGTGGTGATGTGCAAAACAATCTAGGAAAACATCTTATTGAACTAATATTTTTAGTGTCCGTTTTGTACCGTGTGAGCCTTTTGTGTGGGATCGATTTCAGCTACTGAAACATGTTCATGGCTCCCAAACGTGTGTGAATGTTGGCTTCCTTGAGCAGGTGCAACATGCATGGCAGCCCTTGCCTCTGTATGAATGAGTGAATGAAGCCATGTTTACGTAAAGTGCTTTGAGAAGTTGTAAAGACTGGATAAATGTCAAGAATCCAACGACCAAGGTGAAGTTTGTATAGGATTACTTGGTTTACTTGCAAGTAATTACTAAAATGTGTATGTCTTCGCCAGTCTTTTTCTTGAGCTATCGAAAATGTAAAGTAATAACAAAAACAAAATGTGCAGTCGGTCTGCCCATTACCTAAAAATATCTCAATTACTATTGGATATTTTCTATTAGCCTTCAAATCATGTACTGATATATAATAGTGTTTTTCTTTAGCATTAAGGCCTACCTATTTGAAACTTTTATTCAAATAGAATTGTATTTGTGTGATAATCTCAGGGTAAAGATAACAACGTCAAACAAAGTACAATAAAGTCCTGAATGTCTTGTTTAGGTGTTAATTGTCTTTATTTATTTTTACCTGCATGTAGATCTGCTTACCCACCCGCATTATGGCAACAATTTGTTTGTTAGGAATTTTGGAGGCACAAAGGGTTAGTCTGACTTCTGGTAATTTCCGGATCGTTTCAATGTGTTTTGCCATCCGCAAATAAGTTTGATGAATGCCAGCTGGTGTTCTGTTGCAACAATAACAAGTCCCTGATATTTCTTAACAAATCTAACACGATGGTGTGTCCAATTCTTTCTGTGTTTAACAATGTGGTGATGTTTACTATAACGTTTTACTTTTGCTAGTCATTTACTTTCTGATGACGTTGCTTTGACAATCTGTTCAATTCATCCAGTGTTCCTGCCAGCAGACTAACCTTGTAGGCCCTGAGCAGCGGCAGCAGGAATTAGTGCCCACTGCCTCAGACATTGTAGAAATGATCCCTAATCTTCATCTTCAGTGTAGCTGCTGAGAATTAGCAGCTATAAGTAGAACAATACTTTATGCTTGGTTGAGTAAACACTTTTTGCATAGAACTTAAAAGAGTTATCTAGACGTAAATACCACATTAACTGTTTCAACATACATGTGATCCCTGGATTTACTTTTTAGTGCCAAAATGATCCTTATTGTCTAGACAGCTTGTACACCTTAGTTACACCAATCATTGATGTTGTGTTAACTGAAATAAGAGGGATACATCTGGGTCAGAACTCCTACAATAATATTATCTTTGCAGACATATTTAACCATGTTATCCAGTTTCCTCTTTAATGACAAAACATAAAAAGATCACATTCAGAAATAATGTTTTTCAGACTGCACTAAAACTTCAAATAAAAAGGAACTTGGCCACCAAGCGTCAGTGCTGCATAAAGAAACTCAGCTGCCTTTCTCACACTGATCAAACGTTGATTAATATTTATAGGTGTGTGGGCTGCAGCAGTGTAGTGTGATATGTTGTCTGTTGGAAATACCAGATAGTCTCTCCATTCTCCTTTCCTTTCTGTTAAGCACCATGGATTTTCAGCCAGACTTGACTTACAAGAATAATAACTTCATCAAGTGTTTGGTTTATTACCTTGTTTATAATTTCCCTGACAGCTGGCTCTTATTGAGACTGTTCAATTTAGTTTGCTTCCTGGCTTGTTGGTTGCAATCCTTGTTTTTTCATTTTTACCACCAGATGGTCTTTTTTTGTAACTAGTTAACATGTCGGAGCTTTTGCAGCGCACTAGTTCACGTGTAAGACTTTTAGTGTCCCTAGCACGGTCAGAGGGCCACTAGTTCATCAAAAAGCTTACAAGTTGGGACAGTGGTGCTACTAGTGCTGCTCCTAGCGTCACTAGCAAGGCTTATGTGGTAATAATAATAATAATAATAATAACTTGAATTTATTAATATAACGCCTTTCATAACCTCAAGGTCGCTTTACAAAGAAACATACAAGGACAAGACATAAAACATAAAAAACATAAAACAGGGGGCAGAAATGGAAGTGTAAGTGGGGGGGGAGTGAGTTGTTGTTGGAAGTCGATGTTGAAC